GTCAGCACAGAGCCCTACACGGGGCTCAAACCCATGAACCATGAGATCATGACCTGAGCCCAAGTCGGACGCTTCACCGACTGAGCCACTGGGCGCCCCAGGTTACTGTTTTCATTACAAATTTTCTCAATTATTTTTTGACATGATTATTTATAAAATAAAAATAAACATACTATGCTTTAAACACACACACATACACACACAACAAACAAACAAAGCCCTTTCAGGGTGTTTCTGTGGATTAAATTATAAATGTAGGATAAAATGTGTCTTCCATTTATTACTCAGAGTGTCCTGCTGAGCCCTGGCACTGAGGGATTACTCTGTGGAGGAAAAGAACAGAAGCAAACATTCGGTGGCCAAATAAATCTGGGAAAAACTGTAAACCACACTCTCTTTTCCACTTTAAAGAGTTTGAGAAATTGTACAATAGAGAAACCATTAGCTCGGTTAGCCCAGCATTCCCCAAGCATATTTGACCATGGAACGCTTATTTTGCCAAACAAATCTTCCTCTCCCACGGAGACCTCTTTGGCACACGACATCTCCTTATATAGTGGGTTCAGCCTCCTCTCTTTGTAAAAGTAACAGCAATAATCAGGTGACATCTTAGACATGCAAACATGCTCCCAAACTCAGTGGCGAGGACACATCAAGTCCCTCAGATGCTCGGGGGGAACAATCAGTGGGAGTATCGGGGGCTCTCTGGGCATGAGACTGCTTGCCACATGCCGGGGTCTGCAGGGACCCTCCCAGACCAGGACTGGGCCCTCCATCCCCTCCTCTTCCCAGAGCCGGAACTCAGCCAATCCCACAGAAGTACAGGAACATGAAACAAGGAAGGGATGAAGAGAAGGTCCAAGTGCCCACGCCATGCCACGTGCCATCAGGGTCACCGATCTGGCCGGCGCCGGCCGGTTTCCAGTTACCTTTGCCAAGCCTTGGTCCAGGAGAACTCTCCCTTGATTTCGACGATGGCAAGTGGCTCACCAGCACATACTGCTCCGGCCCTTTGTAAAGCTTCTCTGAGCCCCCCGGGGCCGCGTCCTCTTGCATAGCCAGCAAGGAGCGCTCGGACAGCACTGGGGAGTTGTTGTCATAAGGGGAGAGGTCTCCGCTGGAGGCCTTGTTGGAGTCGGTGGATGAGTGCCTTCCTCCCACAGAAAATGAAACTTCCGACCGCAGCATGTCAGGGCTTCTGGTGCAAGGAGACAATAGCAAGCGCGTGAGTGTGTTAACACTTAGTGACCAGATTCAAAAGATACGACCGTGACACAAACCACAGGAGGAGAACGCATGGATGGGCACAGGGGCCGAAACCAAAAGACAATTCGGAGCAAACACTTGTACAGCGATAATGTGAAAGCGTTTCCACGACACGGCCAGCAGAGGGCAGTGAAACCCAACAGTCGTTACAGGAACTGTCCGGGCCAGGGAGGCGGGGACGATGAAACAGACATGGACCCCTGTACTCTCCAGGGGGCATCGCTCAAATGCCTGTTGCATTAATCTCGCTGCCACTGGAAAATCAAAGTCTGATGCTCACTATCTGTTAGGTAAGGAAAAACTGGCAGAGAACTCTGTGACGTTCCTTAATATCCTGAATTGAATATAATTCACATAAAACGATGAAACTTTTTACGTGAAGTTCACGATGGCTTTATGGACAACGTTTCTTCCCCCACCCGCACGCTCAGTGTGAGTAAATCCATCTTTCCTGTGGCAGTGACGACAACGACGACGACGACGATGCTTCTGGTGGGAAGAATAGATTCACGTATGAAGAGGCGAAACACATGACAAATACATGACCGCCACTACAGTTCATGGGATTTTAACACTCCGAAAATGAGTCTACAAGGCGCGAGTGCTTTTACAAATGGATGCAAAACATGCTAATCAGCATATCCATGATGTCTTATCGGTGCATAAGTTGTCACAGCAACAGAAATAACAGCGAACGTGTGAGAGGGGCAGGAAAATGAGGCGGTCAAGAACATGAAGAGAGTGTTGGAAGGCTTACCTGGGAGCATCTGTATTTTCTACCTTCCTCAAAACAGTGGCCCTGACATCTTGAAGGGAAATGATGACAGATTAAAAGTTCCAGAACCTACTTCTGGCGCCCCCCTCAACCCCACTTTGCTCCTCTTTAACTAGTCTTTGCTTTCTTCTGGTTTAATTTTGCAAAACAAATCCTTTGGGATCTTAAAGAAGGTAAACACACGCCCGAGCAATCTTTTCCTAACTAAAGGGCTGAGTGCACGCAGGACGGAGGACGTGCCCTCACAGGGGGATCTGGCTCAGTCTCGGGTTTCCAGCCGGGGTTAGCGTCCAGGAGAAAAGCCATCTCCGTATCTGTGACGTGCCTCGCCTGTCACTGACATGGCCAGGAGCTCGAGCACTTTTTTGCTGAGGAAGTTTCTTCTCCACATGGAATAAATCAGTCCTTTCCTTGCCTCCTCTTTAAACCGAGGATAGATAATCTTATGGGAAAGAGCCAGAGGACAACCACGAGGATGATTTTCCAGAAACGTGAGGCCTCCCGTGAAATGAAGGAAAAATAAAAGAGACTTATTTTAGTTCTGCTGGAAATGGGGGGCGGGGCAACTATTTAACCTCCATATCTAATGGGGTGGAATTCTCCCAAATTCTAGCAGGGGAAAAACAAAGCAAAACAAATGGACACTGCTGTGTCATCACGAATTTGACTCCGGCTGAGGAAACTTTACTATGACAATGAGAAAAACTGAATGGGTTGAACATGGAGCTGAGCTTACAATCGGGGTTCTGACCAGGGCTAGAAATTAGAGTATGGGGCCAATTTCCGTTGTTTTCCCTGTTCAGTTGACAGGTTCCCCCGTCGTTAATGAAAATGTCTTAGGTCTCCTTGGCAAGAATAAGTCAGCGAGGACTAAAGTCTGATCTTGTGGGATGTTTGAAGAGAGCCCAGTGCATTCATTAGCCCAAACGCAATAACCATCAGGGCCACGAATGCTTTTTTGCCCCCTCACGTTGGGAGGAAAATGTTGGAACGGTGGCATTTTAGCTCATGGGGATCCCAACTATTCTGTCTCGCGTCTTGCTCATCTGTCTTAAAACACATAGAGAAGAGAATACATTCAGCCAAATATGATAAGCTGCGGATCCAGCCAACGGTTGCGTGCATAAAGAAAGGTGCCCTACGGGGGCGCCTGGGGGTGGCTCAGTCGGCTGAGCGTCCGACTCCGGCTCAGGTCATGATCTCACGGTTCGTGAGTTCGGGACCCGCATCGGGCTCTGTGCGGACAGCTCAGAGCCTGGAGCCTGCTGTGGATTCTGTGTCTCCCTCTCTCTCTGCGCCTCCCCCAAGTGCACTCTGTCTCTCTCTCTCTCTCTGCCTCTCAAAAATAAAGAAAAATAATTAAAAAAAAAAAAGAAAGAAAGGTGCCCTACGGAAGAAACGTAGCGGGTCTCAGCACTAGGAACACTTCAGTTTCCGCCCAGCGAGGAGGTTACTTTGGCCCTATGGAAGCATGCATCAAGTTGCCGTCCCGAGGCCTGTGGTCACCTCTGTGTGTCCCCACCCCGGCCTCGTCTTACCTTATGGCTCTTCCCATCGTTTTCCTCTCCCTAGCCTCTCAAATTACTCACTACAACGTTGTTCCACTTGCACAGTTTTGCAAGCTGCTGCAGTAAGCTCTTTGGGGACTGTGCAGACGGGGAAATCACACTCACATTAATTATTGGGTGTACGGAAAAGGCTTCATGAGAACATTTCGTTTGCTTAACCGAAACAGAATAAAACAGAGAACAGTGGTAACAATAACAAAAATAACCGAGCTGCCACACCGTTTCCCTTCCATTTTCATGGCTGTGATTGGAGCTGATGGAGGAGAGGTGAGAGAGGAGGAGGTGGAGGGCCACTGACCACTTCCTCTGTTCTTTGGGGAACATCACCCGGGAACTTGTTGGAAATGCGAGTTCTCAAGCCTCGCTCTGGACCTACTGTCTGGACTGGCTATAACATGGGAGGCCCCCGGTGAAAAAAAAAAATTAAGAATTTGCAGGTGGCGATAGCAGATCATCGAGCCAAGTGTGGGCCTCTTCTCGATGGAGGCCCTGTGCAGCTGCACAGGTTGCAGACTGTGAACTGGCTTTGCCTATTCAAAGGGCATCTGGGAGTGGGGCTAGCAAACTGTGTTTTAAAAAGCCCTCCAGGTATCTGTGACGCAGGGGCAAGTCTGAGAACCTCGAGGCCAAACTACCTTCCCTCCCTCATCCATAGATAGGACAGTGGGCTAAGGATCTGTTGGGTCGAATCAGGAAGGACAGCACAGAGAGTGGCCCAGACGTCAGCACTGGTTGGCCGAGGGGGTTAATGTGGCGGTCCCGACCTGGAGGTGGCTGGGGCCACAGCTGAATAAAGGGGGGGTGCGCCCATCCTAGCCACTCGTCAACGGCATCCAGATAACCCAATGCGTTTGGGTTGCGGATCAGAATCGGTAAGGTGAGAGGGAGCGGGAGAAGCCAACCTGCCTTTCTCTGCTCTTCAGGTTCATTCTCCTAAGTCAAGCCACCAAAGTGACTACAGCCGGGGCCCTAATCAGGGGAGAAACTGAAGGAGGCGGCCAAAGCTAAACCCTGCGGGTAGAGACGCAAGCAGGTCTCACAGTGGACACACAGGCTGTGAACCTGAGGGTGGCTGGGCTCACGGCCAGGGACGCGAGCAGAAATGCACTCGTGCAAAGCGACCCCTTTGTAAAAGTGGGTGCTCACACAGGGTTCCCTGGGTGGCGGGCAGGGCACTAATCTCCTGCCAACGACTCTCCTAGAGGAAATGTATTTGAGAAACGGTATCCAGCATTATTAAACCACCAATAGTCAAATGCTGTGTTTACACTTGGGGTCAATGGCCCTCTTAAGTGTTTAAGGCGGTTTCCACCCATCACTTCGTTTTCTCAGCAGAGGTCAGTAAGGCGGTGACCAAATGTGCCCAACAACCCACGTGCGAGGAGTGCCTTTGCACGTGGGAGTCCGCCAGTTGGTAAACGAAACGAAACCATTTTATTCGCTTCTCAGGACTCCCACGTCCCGCACGGGCAGTGCAGAGGCTAAAAGAAACTTTGGTGTCATCCCATTGCTTTATCATCGAATCTACCTGGAAACAAATCCGGAACCCCCACCGCCATCGCCTTTGCTAACATTTGCCTCTAAGATGATTCAGGTCTATGGAGACAATTTTTTTAAGTTCAGTGCTGCAAGTGAAGGCAATTAAATTTTTGTATTTGTTTATGTAAAATATTTCACCAGCGGTTCGCTAAGATGAGCGAATGGTTTCAAAGCGCGTAGCGGGCCCTCTGTGTCTTGGAATTGAGCGGACAGGTTGCCCGTCGACACGGGTTTGCCTCCACGAGACCTGAATGCACAGCGGGCACGGCCGGTCTCAGCTAACCAAATACGCACGAGATAGATATGGAGAGTGAAGCGCTTTCTCACCCTTAGCTGGTCCCTCCAGGTCAGGGTGTTAACACGCCGCTGGCAGGGGACTGTGGGCAGGCCTGCACTGCAGCTGGAGGCACAGAACTCGTTCTGCGGATAAATGGAAAACTCTGGTTCAATCACCGGATGTGGCAGCCCAGCCCCCTGCTGAGCTGTTCCCCAGCGAGAAACATCCTCGGAGATTTCAAGCACGCGTCGGCTTCTTCCTTGGCTTCGTCGCTCAACTGATAAAGCTCAGTCTGCTGGGACTCAGAGCACATACCCATCTCACACACTATTAATCGCACGGGGACATTCGAACTTACCCAGGGCTCGGGTGAAATTTCTCCCCTCATTTTTAGCTCTTGCTAACTCCCTCCTGATAGCCATGGCACACGAAGGCATTTATGACAGGCGCAGAGAAAACAACGCTGACTCCCGTCCCTTTTTGTACAGCGTGCCTCATAAGACATCTTCCAGTTAGTATTCTGCAAGTTTATAAAAGAAGTTGCGAATCATCGTAAAGGCGTTCGGAGAAAGAGGTGATGCGATCGATTCTCGCTTCGTTTTGAATTGGCTTTCCGTAGAAGGCACATTCACGCTTTTTGGAATTTTTCATTCTGGAATTTCCTATTCCACATGCATTTCTCCTGAAGTTGTCTGGCTGAAAAGGCTTTCTTTTTTTCTATTTTTTTTTTTAATGTTTATTTAGTTTTGAGAGACAGAGAAACAGAACCTGAG